GGCCACCTGATGAGAAGAACTGACTCATTGGAAAAGACCCTGAAGCTGGGAAAGACTGAAGGTAGGAGGAGAAGGGGACGACAGAGGATGAGATGGTTGGATGGCATCACCGACTCAATGGACATGAGTTTGGGTAAACCCTGGTAGTTGGTGATGGACAGGCAGGCCTGGCGTGCTGTAGTCCATGGGGTCGCAAAGAGTCAGACACGAGTGAGAGACTGAACAACAACAATGGAGGGAAGGGGGAGAGTCTGCAGCCCCCTCTGTGGCTCCCTCCTTTCCCCCAAAAGAGCATTTCTCCCAGGAATCTTCTGAATACATTAAATTAAGCAGAATGGGATTTGGTTACCATTTTGCCCAGTTTAGCTGTTTTATATTATATTATATACTCAAAGTCAATTTAACAAATACAGAGTGCAGGTGTCTTACTTAGAGTTCATTAAATATGATGTTTATGGTGTTTATACTTATTTCTATAAAAAGCTGGGCACCAGGACCTTGGTGAGAATTATAATTTCCATCATCACATTGTTTCTGGGCAAAAACAGACTCAACCTACATCATTTTCCCTGCAGTACCTTTTCCAGGAATATAACCCAAGATACATTTGAGGACTCCCTGCAGTTCCACTCAGTTCCACCATCTGCAGTGTCCTCTTGCCTTTCTGGTTCTCTGGGCTCCAAGGGTGTCTATGGGTCCTGGGAGCTCCCTGAAGGCAGGGGCCAGGGGAAGATCCAGTTTTTGTGGGGCCCTCTTAAGAAAAAGAACAATTACAAAATTAGGCCCAATGGTTTTATTTCTTTAGAACTAGAAAGATCACAACAATTCATGTGAACCTTGGAAATTCAGATCCCTTTCTTCTGATACCTCTTCATTCAGTTCACCAAAAATGCTTGCATAAAAATGCTTGCTATTTGTAAACCAACCTCCCCTCCCTTCCTCCCCTCAAGTGAACAACCGTAAAGCTTTAACTTCATCAGCTTCATCGAGAATCTGCCTCTGGCAGGGACGCCGTGTTCTCCTTTCACCGTTGTTCCCCAACAGCCAGAATATAGGGCTCCGTACTTGTGCCCAGGCAGAGAGTGATCAGAGAGTGACAGACACCCCACACCAGTGTCTCAAGGCAGCTGCCATCCACCGCTTGAGTCAGAATCACCTAGAGACTCTGCCAAACTGCAGATTCCAAGAACGAGAGGATCTAACTCTGGGGTAGGACCTGTGAGTCTGCATTTGCACACATGCTTAAGCCTGAGGACCACCGCTCTGGGGCCACACTCTCTACAGAGCTGAGTCATTGGTGGTACAACAGTCCTCAGCGACTCCAAAGGCCTCATTCAGGGCCTCCTGGGGTGGGGGCTGAGCAGAGGCTGCAGCCAACAGCAGGGGGTCCACTGAAAGAGGTGGCACCAACCCGCAGTCTCCCTTCTCTAACTTGGCTCACCGCCAGGCTCCAGGAACACCCCTTCTTTCCTCATCGCCCTCCCCCACACAAACAGCATGCTTCCAGCTCAGTGTTTGACTCCTACAGTAAAGAGCCAAGAGGACTTGAGCTGAGAATCATTTGTAGCGGTGTGTAATCTGGCATCCTTCTCCCGAGACACTCTGGGGTCACAGAGTCCCAGGCTTCTGGCAGTAGTGATGCACAGCTAAGCCTAGAGATTAAATCTGGAGGTCAAAAGGTCACTCCCTGGGCCATTAAATCTCCCAGGTAATTACCTAAGAGCTTCCAAAGGACTGAGTTGAGTGCCCATCTTTCCCCAGGAAAGTGTCTGGTCTGGAATGGAAGCCATGGAAGACGAGTTGAGAGAGAGAGAGATGGCCATTTACTGAGATGTGCTATAGGCCAGATAATGTGCTCACTGCCAGACACACATATCCCTGTGACATCTCACAACAATCCTCTGAGTCCCAGTGAACGCCCTTATCACTACCCTCATCTTAAAGAGGTGGTGCAGGCTAGTGGTTCAGAGTTAGGACTCTATCATCAGATACCCTGAGTTAGATCTCAGCTCTATTATGTACTGGTTACATAATATTAAACCTCTTTTGTCTTCCCATCTCCAGAGTCCTAGGGTTGATGGAATTTTCAATGAGCTGAGGCATAAATATGCCTTATGTGTAGTAGGTGTTCAAAAAGTATTAACTGCTATTACTTGAATTTTTTTACACAGAAAAGAACTGGAACTCAGGGAAGTTAATGCACTTTTCCTGAAGAAAGACTAAGTGATGAGGAGAGTTTCAAACCTCAGGCTCTGAAACCAATGCTCAGGTCCATTGGATTGTGAGAAATCTGGAGTCAGCAAGAGGTTTCCCCCATTCTCTGCCCAGAGACAATACAATTCCCTTATCCCTTACCCAGCACATGTCTTACAGGGTCTGCCACTTAGAAACAGCCAACTGGCAATGTTACTTGCTTTCACCCCACTTATTCTGTAATTATCCATTATTGAGCATCTACTATAAGGCATTGCTCCCCTGGTAGCTCAGTGCTAAAGAATCTGCCTGCTAACGCAGGCGACTCAGGTTCGATCCCCAACCCACTCCAATATTCTTGCCTAGGAAACCCCATGGACAGAGGAGCCTGGCAGGCTCTAGTCCATGGGTTCGCAAGAGAGTTGGACTTGACTTAGCGACTAAACAACTATAAGGCACTAATCTCGACTCAATGCCGTGTGGGAAGTCTTAGCCCTCCAGAAGTTTCCCATCTGGGTTGGGAGCTAAGACACACTATGCAGCACGGATAGGTGTTGGGGGGCTGGGGCGCTGGAGCGTCGCTGAGTTGGTAAAGGGCTGGTGACACTTCCTCCTTTGTAAGATTAGCCTGAATACACTGACATTGTCCCTCAGGATGGTGAACTGACAAGGGACTCCAACACTCCTGCTCAAAAGCTTAGAGTCAAGTTTTGACCCCTTTCACTCAATCAGTCAGTGTCAAATTTATATCAAGTCTTCTCACAGAGGCCTATTGCATTTACTCTCCAGTCTCACCGCTACCCTCCGTTTTGTTTCACTAACAGCCTTCTCTCCAGCCTCCCATCTTCCAGCTTCTTTTATCCCAAATCACTTGTGTTCTGGGCCAAGGCTAAACTGTTCAGCCTGGAAATTCGTGTTCTTTGCTCTGCAGACCCAGTATGGTGTTACAGCAAGGGCACTGTGGTTCCAAGAAGAGGTTCAAATTCTGCCTATAGAACTTAAACTCTCTGAGCCTCTATTCTACTGTCTGTTAAAGGGGGGGTGTAAGAGTCAACTCAGACGATAAAATGAGAGGGACAGGGGTGTGTGACCATGCCTGGCATCCAATAGTAGCTCCATAAACTCCCTCCCTTGCCCCCTGCCCTCCAAGCAACCCACTCTGCTCTGCCCACTCTGCTCTGCCGTCTCTACTGGCTTGCATTTGCTCGTCCCTGTTTTCTGTCAGTTCTTCCATCCGGACTCAGCCTGATGTTCACCTCCTCCATAAAAGCTTTCCTGAATAACCTTAACCTATGACAGCCTTTTCTTTCTGTATTTCTATGGCACTTCCTTGGCCTTGAAATGTTTAAAATTGCTCTTGTAGTTCCAACTTGTCCCTCTAAGCTCCTAGAGGCCATCATGCCCCACAGCAGGGGCGGAGAGCGTGCCATGGGAGTGGTTTAGGAGGTACAATGGGAACTTAATACGTGCTTACTGAATACAAGGAGGTGAGAACCCCCTCCGTGCATACAGGACACGCAGACCTTCAGGCTGATTTGATAAAAGCCTCCAGGCACGGAGTTAGCACTGGCTGTGCCCTTGGAGAAGACAGAGCCAAAAAGCTTTCTGAAGCTCGCAGCTGGATGGAGGAAGGAAGACCGGATGCCACTCCTGGCAGGACTCCCCATCCCTTGGGCTCCAGCCCACCTGCTTCTCTACGGTTGCTTCTGCAGGCTCTGATCAGAACCCATTAGTTAAGAGTGTGGCCTGTCATGGACCTGAGCTTGTTTTGAGTGGTCCAGGCTGAAGGATCCACTGAGGCACGGGACTCAAGCTGTTGGCCCCAGCAGGAAACACACGCTCCTACGCTCTGACAGGGGTGGTGACCCAGCCTTTGTAAGCCACCACATAGCAGCCGAGCATCACCCTCAGCGGCCTGCTCTCCTTTCCTAGTGTTTACAAGGCTCGGCCCGTAGTGGGGGTATCTGCCCAAGCCAAGCCCCAGAGTGGGCTTGCCAGTTCCTGTCTAACACCTATGGAGATGGACACCTTTGCTAAAGGCCAGGATGGAACCTTCCAGAAGGTCAGAGCTACCGCGCTGGGGGGGGGGGGGCATGCTAGAAGGGTATGGAACTGGCGGGGGTGGGGTGTATATTCCACACTATTCTTTAGGATAAAAGACGCCTGTGCCCGTGGACAAATTCTCTCCCACTGTATGCATTCCTTAGTCCGCTGTTAACTTGGGGGGAAAGGCAGGGGGGGGGCGGGGGACAGCACCGCGCAAGGCAAAAATGCTGTGCAGTGAGTTGCACCTGTCCTCTAAAAGCTGCTGAATTTCCCCTCTGTCTTCCTTTCCAAGGGAGTAAGAGGCAATATGAGAGCGGCCCCTTTCCTCTCTCGGATCTCCGTTCTTCTTTCGGACCAGCCCTGCGTCTGAAGGCGCGAGGGCGCCGCGGCCCCGGAGGCCCAGCCGTAGCATCCGGCCCCGGCCCCGCCTCCCGCGGGCTGTGTCGGTAGCGGGCCGCCGGCCACTCAGGAGTTAAAACGGCTGCGGGCCTGGAGGGAGGGGGCGGCGCGGCAGGCAGAAGGCGAGGAGGCGCCCAGCGCGGGCTGGGGAGGCCGGGGCGCGGCGCAGCGCAGCAGCGAGAAGAGGCCGGGCGGAGGGCGCGCGGAGGGGCGCGGGCGCCGCGGGGGCCTGCCGGCCGCACCCGCGAACGCGCGGCGGGCGGAGGACGTGCCGCTCTCGGCCGCCGCCCTCCAGCCTGGCGCGCGGGCCCGGCGCGGGCCCGGCGCGGGCGGGGAGCGGGTGCTTCTGCCGGCGCCTTCACCCGCTCTGCCCCGGGACCACTCCCAGGAAAACTCCGCGGCGGGGAGGCGCCCGCGACCCCGCCCCAGCCTGTGCGCTTGGCCTCCCTGAGCCCGGCCCGGGCGGGAGCCGAGCGGTTCGCGGGCAGCAGACGGCGCCCGGGGTGAGTGTGCGGTGCGGCTCGCGGGCGGGCCCCGGGGGCTGGGGGGCCCGCTGGGGAGCTGGGGGCTTGGGCGGGGGGCGTCCGCGCGGGGGCGGGGAAGGAGGGCCGGAGACCGGAAAGGTTGCCGGCCGCGCGGGCTGGACCCGAGGAAGGGGCGTCCGAGCCTCCCCAAACTGTGGCTCGGCAGAGCGGGGGCCCCGAGACGTCGGGGGGCCGCGATTTAGTGGGGGGCGTGACGGGGGCAGACTCGCCGGGAAGGGCTCCAGAGCCTGCGGACTTGCCCTGCCCGGGAGCTTGGGCGTCCAAGGTGGCCTTCGTGTCGGTCCGAAGTCTCTGCAGCCCGGAGCCCGGCTCCTCCCGGGGGGCCGGAGTCTGGGCGCGGGGTCTGTGGCGTGGAGGAGGGGCCGACCGAGGGTTGGCCAGCTACAGGTGGTGCGTCCGTCCTGCGGGCGGAGGACGGCGCGGGCTCCGGCCGCCCCGCCAGCGGGGAGCCGCCGGGTGGGGGGAGACTGAGCTCGGAGAAGCCCCAGAGGTGCGGAGACTGGGACCTGGAGAGGGGTCTGGGGGTGTTGCCGTGCTCCCCTTAGGGCCCTGCCCTTCCTCCCCCACCAGAGGAACAGGAAGGAAAATGTCAGCTGGGCTTTGTGCTCTCTCCTTCAGCCTGCCGCAGCTCCCATCTGTTGGAGCCAACGCAGCTTCTAATTGGGCAGCCGGCAGGGTCGGGAGGGGCTGGGTTGCGCGCAGCGCTCGGTTGCTAGAGATGGGCCGATTGGGCCCTCTTCTTGAAGACCCCAGAAGGTGGGTGGTAGAGAAAACAGACCCCCCCCTACCCCAGGTCAGGGGGGTAGAGGTGGCTCCCTGCCAGCTTGGCCATCATCATGGGGAGATCTGGGTCTTTCCATGCGCCCTGGTAGCCGCAGGCTCCCCCTTCCCTGACAGCTTGGGATGGGCTCTGGCCCATGTCCTCTTCCTGAATGAGAAGGCACGGATCCTCTCCCACTGCCCACTGCTCTGTAAAGTTCCCTCCAACAGGAGCACCTGGTGTGGGGCGGGCAGGGCCGTGTACAGGGCACCGAGGCCCCCTTGCCTGTTGTTGTTAGACGAAAGTCGCATGTGAGCAGCCTGACCCACTTTCCTGGCTGGCCAGGTGCCCTTGTGGGAAGATGGAAAGAGAGACCAGCGAGGGGTCTGAGCCTTCTGGATACCTTTCCTTCCCCTGGGCTGGCTCACAGAGTCTCCTTCCCGTGGTGGCTGGGGAGGGACCACCTCCCAGACCTAGGGTGAAACCTCATTGTTTGGAAAGGATGGAGCTAACCACCTCAGGCTTCAGGATTGGGACCTGCGCAGGGTCTGGCAGACACCTGGCATCTAGGGGCACCCCCAAATCTACAGCCTCCCCTGCACAGCCCAACCCAGAGGAGACGCTGGGTGGCAGGGGGAACTCAGAAGTCTTGCTAAGACGAATTCCACCCAGGTTGAGACAGCAGATTTCCTCTGGAAGTCTCCACAATTCCTACCCACTCCTCATCCTTATTTCCGGTGCCCCCCCCCCCCCCCCGTGCTCCTCCTGTCTCCTTCAGGAGTCTCTTCCTCTCCCCACCCCCTCACAGAGTTCCCCCTTCTCTCTCACCCTCCTCCTCTCCCCAGACTTCTCCCGCCCTCCCTTCCAGGCCTGTGTGCACCTTTTCCCCTTCTCTTCTGTAACCTGCAGCTTCAGCCACAAGCCGGGCGGTGCATGGGCTCCTGGCTCCGGAGCCTCCTAATGTGGGAACACCTGTGCTGGTAGCTTTGTTGCGGCCCCTTTGCAGGGGCGGAGCCTGGGTGGCCCGTCTGGCAGCTGCATTCCCCTGGCATCACTCCTGAACCAGGGCATTTGCCCCTCCTACCCTCTCTCTCTCTTTTTTTTAAATTTGAAATGGGAAAGAAAACCCATTGTTTAAAAAAAAATGCATTCATTCAACAATTTATTGAGCACCTCCTCTGCTTAGCACTATTTTAGGAGCTGAGGATACAGCCACTAAACCTTTATATCTCAGGGCTGAATTTGTATCTGGACCTCCCAGCCAATCAGGTCTCTGCCCATCAGACTCTTTACCCATTACTTGTGGTGTTGCTGAGGGAGGGGTGTGAACAGTCCTAGCAAATTGTCATCTTGATCATACTGAGTAACCTCTAATATGACAGGCCCATCTCCTTACAATAAACCAGATACTGCAAAGCGTACAGACCCAGGATCATCCTGTCCTTAAGACATTTCTGACCTCCAAGGATGGACCAGTTCATATCTCATCGTTTACCTGGGAGAGCTGAGTAGAAGGCTGGTGTCTTAGATGGAGAAGGGAGAAAGAAGCATTTATTATTGAGTATCTACTAAGCATCAATCTGTCAGGAACTTTACAAAAATTATCTGATTCGATCCTCCTAATAACCTTATAAATTTGGGGTTATCATCCACTTTATAACTGAGGACATTGAGGACCGTGGAGGATAAGTCGCTTGTCCCAGGTCACAAAGGTCTCCGTTTTGAAATCACTGCCTCTTTGCAGTTCATTTGGCACCTGTGCTTGTGACAACTGGTAACATGCAGTTCTCTGAAGGTTACATTTTAACTGAACTTTGCAGAAGCATGCCTTGTCTCAGAATATTAAGATATATAAAGATTTGCTGAATGGTTGCATGAATAAGCTTTCTCAAGGGATCAGAAAAGGCTTCCTGGAGGAGCTGGGCCCCTGGGAGAAGAGACAGGGCAGTGGGTCTTCCTGATCCCACACAGGTCTGTGACAAGCTGCAGGCAGGCAGTCACACACACACAGCATGTAAGCAGAGGTCGCTGTTTTCATTCAGAGTCTGTGTGTAGGAGATTGGTCTGTGGCCAGTCTAATGAATCAGTGTCACTGGTGTTCTCAGCTTCCTTGGGCAAGTCTGGATTCTAGAAAAGCTCTAAGGCAGAGAATGAGGGTGGAAGGCTTTCAAGCCTGCACGAACTATACGGAAGGGCAGGGACGATGGATGGAGGCTGAACGGGACAGGACAAGGGGAGAGTGACCGACGAACAGACAAAGGCAGGAGATGAACAGAGACAAAAACCAGAAGGCAGGAGACGTGCAGGAGAAGGCTCAGTGGGCAGGACAGACTGCAGTATGCGGTGCACTTGCTAAGAGAGGGCGCATAAGAAGGATGCCTTTACCTGATGCTTTCCAGAGGGCCTTGGTCTCTCTGTCCTGCAGCTCAGAGGCTGGGACATTCGCCATGTTAGCCGTATGCAGGCACATGCTTAGCCCATCTTTTGTAAGCACCTGCTGTGCATTCAGCCCAGTGCTAGGTGCGAGGGATAGAAACACATCAGGTGTTGGCCCTGCCTTCTAGGAGTTCTAAAGCCACATCGCTGGGGCTTGAATCCAGGCCCCATGACTTCTAGCTGAGTGACATTGGGCAGGTTATCTTAACATCTCTGTGCATCGGTTTCCTCATGTATGAATGGGATGATAACAGTACCTACTTCATAGAATTGTGATGATTGAATGAGTTAATACATGGCCTGAGTTTAGAACAGTGCCTGGCACAGTAAGCACCAGATAAATATTAGTCTTAGTCTTATTAAATGGAGTAGTTAGCCTTACAATAATGAAACAAGTGCTATAATACATGGCTTTCCTGGTGGTCCAGATGGTAAAAGTGAAAGTCGCTCAGTCGTGTCCGACTCTTTGCGACCCCATGGACTATACAGTCCATGGAATCCTCCAGGCCAGAATACTGGAGTGGGTAGCTGTTCCCTTTTCCAGGGGATCTTCCCAACCCATGGTAAAGAATCCACCTGAAATGTAGGAGATCTGGCTTCGATCCTTGGGTGGGGAAGATGCCCTGAAGAAGGGAATGGCTACCCATGCCAGTATTCTGGCCTGGAGAATTCCATGGGCAGAGGAACCTGGTGGATACAGTCCATGGGGTCACAAAGATTCGGATATGACTGAGCGACTAAGCACATACAGCAGTTAGTCTTACAGTAGTGAAGCAAGTGCTGTAATACAGGGATAGCGGATAAAGAGGTGACTATGTCTGTCTCCAGTTTACAAAATGGACCTTGGAGGACAGGATACTGGGCCGCAGCTTGAAAAGAAGTCAGCCAGGCAGAGGCGGTGGGCCGAAGGCCCAGGACTGCATGTGGAGGGGCCGTGCCGCATGCGTGCTGTCTTCTGTGGCGAGCAGGAGACCTTGGACACACCCCACTTCAGCCTCTGTTTCCAGCGCTCAGAGCTGGGCTTCCAGTAGGGCTGTTGGACACACCCCACTTCAGCCTCTGTTTCCAGCGCTCAGAGATGGGCTTCCAGTAGGGCTTTTGGACACACCCCACTTCAGCCTCTGTTTCCAGCGCTCAGAGATGGGCTTCCAGTGGGGCTGGCAGGTCATCCAGAGCATTCCAACACCCTCCAGCTGCAAACAATCGGCCTTTGGGCAGGGGACCTGGTGCACCCCTAGGGTTGCTAGGGTTGGTCTTGTGACCGTGGCATCCTAACTGTTCTAAGCCTTTGTCGGGCAGTCTCTGCTCCAAAGCCAGTGTGGCCACGGGCCTTGTTCTCTGCCTCCTTGCTCTTCCTGGGACCCCGGAGACGCCTGGGCCTGAGGTGCCTGTCTTAGAAGGTGAGTTCAACCAGACTTGGTTTAGAATTCAGTTTCTCTCTGTACATTTCTTCCACCCACACCTTCCCTGCTGCTCAGCGTTTGATGGACTTGAAGTTCCCTGATGAAGAGCAGGCAGAGGGTTCGTGGGGCACTGACTGTTATTCAACCTCCACCTCACACGTTGTAATGGCATTAATTACAGCAACTGGCATTTATGGGGCACTAACTATATGCCAGGTACTCTGCCATGTGCTTTACCTACGTTATTCCATTAAGCCCTCAAAAAGTACCCCATTAGGTAGGTCCCCTTATTATCCCTAATTTAAACACCAGGAAACTGAGACTCAGGTTCGGTAACTTGCTCAAGGACATGTCGCTAGAAAAAAACTGAGGGAGGACTCAACATTCTCTCTGACTGCAGGGCTCCTGCTCCTTACGCCCCCAGAACCCAGTGTTCCTGGGCCAAGAGGTGCCCTGGTGGCATCCTGCCCATTCTCCTCCACTTCCTACGGTAAGCTGCGCCCCAAAGGAAGGAGATGGGAGGGAGGGGACCTGGGTGTACCTGTGGCTGATTCTTATTGATGTATGACAGAAAACCACAAAATTATGTAAAACAATTATCCTTCAATTTAAAAAAATACAAAAAAAAAAAAAGATGCCTCTTGGACAAGTCCTGTCCAGGCCAGGGGCTGCCTGCCCCTTTTTGGGGACCTTCAAGAAGGGTCTCCTGTTTTTTTCTTCCCTCAAATGACAGCTCCTGGAGAACCAACATTTTTTCCTCCTGCTTCAGCTAAGTGCCTCAGGGGCCACAGGGAGCCAGTGACCTCAGAGGAGCTGCACCCTAAGAGTAAGTCCCTGGGGGCTGGCACAGCAGGGGGGCCAACGCAGAGGTGACTTCTGGGAGAGGTCTGCTCCCAGTGACTGAGGTCCCAGTGGGTCCTGGGAACCAGAGTGCAGAGTCCAGACACGGCGGCGGCAGGGGGAAAGCTTGCGACTAGTGTTGCCAGTGGGATGAGACGCCTGTGTGTTGGGAAGAACAAGAACAAGTGTTCCTTTTTGCAAACATCTTGCAAGGCAGAGCCTCCAGGAGCAAACATGTGGAAGAAGGGGCAGTGGTTGTGAGGCAGCCAGCATGGGTCCCCCAGGAAAAGCAGGTCTGTCTTCCCTCATCCCTACCGGAGTGGGAAGAAAAAGGGCAAGGAGGGAGGAAAGGCAGGGAAGACCGTATTCCTTTGCACAGTGTTCTCAGAGTGAGCATCAGAGGCAGGTGGTGAAAGTGTCTGGACTGGGAGGACAGGGGTGGTGATGCCCAGGAGACGGAGCGACCACAGGGGCAGCTGGTGGGCAGGCTGGAAGTGTGAGTGCTGTGCGGGCGGAGGGGAGGGGCTCGACACTTGACATTGACTCTGCCTGGTCCT